TGGATGCATCAAGTTCAGGAGCTAAGATGTACTGCTGACGGTCTTCCAGAACACTCACTATATCACTCACTCTATACATTCCAGATACAGCACTCTCAACAACTCGATTTCATCTGTTGAGGTCCCAGATTTCTGAAAGGTGATAGTGAATGTCAGTATGCCAAGAGAGCCCTGAGCCCTAAACCTAACCCTAACCCGGCACCCCCAAGCATAAGAGCCCTCCTTGCGGTCAGGAGCTGCAACCTGACATTCGGCTTGCAGCGCTGAAGGGTCCTAGGGTTTCAGGTTTAGGGTTTAGGAACCCTCACTAGTTACAGTTTTCATTTTCTTGATCGTTATGCCTATGTAATCCCTAAATAATCAATGGGTTCAGGGTTTGGGGTGGAAGGGTTTGATGGGTGGTGATCTCTGTTTACGGGAGTCCTTTCGAGGTGATAGGTTCTGATGTGATCCCATCATGCTTCTTGAATTCCTATTCTAATATGCTGTATTTGAGGCCCCCAGAGTTGGGTCACAAGCCTGGTAGCATGTGAACCTGAGAAGAAGACCATGAAAAGTATACCCCCAAAGCTGACACTAAGGGTCCAGGTACCTAATTTTCCTATACTTACCCAAACCTGTACTATAATTACTATTGCCCAAATCCCAAGTCCCAAGTACCTAATTATTGGGTACATGGACCCTTAGGGCCTTAGGGTGAAGCCATTAACATTTGAGTAGTATTTATTTTGGGGATACTATGGTACCCATTATAGAGTAAGATCATATCCTCCTTTTGGGTGTAGTATTTTATATAAGGAAGATTATCTTACTAGGTTTAACCACAAAAAACATTACTCAGATGCTGAATCGGCAGTTTTTTCCACTATGCTTGATGGGCAAATTCCGGCGTTGCGCAAAGTATACCATAGTTCCAATAGTTTTGTTATTATGGGGTCATGCAGGTTTTGGTCCAGCATGGCGTACCGACGCCTTCAAAGGTAAAGGAGAGCAAGAGCCATGCTAGGACTCATTCTGCAAATGAGCTATAGTCTAAACTCCTTAAAGTGGGGTTATATAGGGCATCATAGGGGACTATTATAGGGGTTATTAAGGGGGATACTAGGAGTTAACACTATAGCTCAAAAACAATCTGCAACTCCTTCGGGCTTCTGAGCACAAAAGTGCTGTCACAGGGTGCAACAGCAACACAAGAATCATATCATAGCAATGTTTAGGGTTCAGGGGTGTAGGGTTTAGAGGTGTAGTGTGTAGGGATGTCATGGTATTTCTATTTGAGCCCTGAGCCGAAAGCTTACACATGTTCAGTCTGGAGCCCGAATCGGTAGACGGGATACGTGATCGGAAACAAGCCTCACATGCACGACTCTATAGTAGCCCCTGTACAAAACTCCCAAGACCGCCCATGAATAAGTAGTTTCCATGTTCTTTTTCGTTCTTTCATGCCGTACTAACAACCAGCAAGTTAGCCCTAAACCAGAAAACGGACAAATCCCTATAAACCCGACAGTGTTCATTTCAGTTTCCATCTGCTACTCCATTTGATTTTCCATTCCCTACTAAAGCAGCAACATGCAAGGATGCCGGACTGCACCCATTTTACCTGGAAGGAGGACTCCTTCCCTGGCGGTGCCGAGCTCAGAAGGAGTGGGGTGGAGTGGATCCTTTGCTAATTCCCATGTAGCCCCCTAGAATGGACCGAGGCTTTCTGAAGATTAAGATTATTTAAGCTTTTAGTAGTGATGCTGCGGATGTAGACTGATTGTGCAGTCTTTCATGGCTTACCATCCTGTTCCCACGATGGAACCTTCACCTTAATTCAAGATCATCCATGCCATGCCCATGTTTTAAGGGTCAGGCTGGCTTTAATCTCCTGATTTCGCACAGTTGTCACGGGTATTGACTTGCGTGGTTCCGGCTTCCGCCCATTTCACTTCAGTGTGGCCTAGGATCCCTTAGATTCAAGCGCGCAGCGAAGGCCAGCAGAATCGTCCGTCTTGCCTTGATGGTTGGTGTTCCAGTATATCGCTGCTTCTGCGAGCTCACCCCTGCAAGCTCTCGCACTGCACCGCTCCATCATGAAGAGGATGAAATCGTCCTTCGTTTTATGGGGTATATGCAGCAGAAGCACCCAGCTGTGCCCGCTAGAAGCTACTTACACTATGGCAGTTCTCATTACAAGGAGGACGGTGGTGTCATCCGTAGCGTTGCCTTTTACCTGTTGTGCAACTCCAGTACTTCTTGTGCTCATTGCCTTCGAATCCCAGGCGCTTGCTATCTCTTCACGCAGCTGGGCAACTGGGTCATTGAACTGGATTTTCCACTGAGTTGCCTATGGTTAGTTCCTCACCCCCCCAAAAAACTTCAGGATCCGCCCTCCAAAAAATGCAGTCCCATTCCGTGTTCACTAGGAAGCCAGAGCAGGACTTCTAATACTCCAGATGGCTGGCTAGTGCCAAGCCACCCCTGCTTGATATGATCACCATGAGACTGTGGTACTGTCTCATGGAACAAAACCCGCACCCATCCCCCCACCGCAAGCAGGTCTTAGTGGTCGTGGTAAAGTCTCTAAAGCCCAGGATGAATGGGTCCTTTAATTTGGTGTCTTTATATGTATTGTGTTGGTACTGAACGTTAGCTAAGATGGCCTCACAGTGCCAAATGAAGAGCCTGGGGGCTCATCATGGTTTGCAGAGTTAGTACAGGGGCATGGCAAGAACGCGGCAATAACTTGATCTCAACAACCCTACAGCGCACACAATCCGTACACCTTGCAATACCGCAGAGAACCAGATAGCCTGCATAGCGCCCTGCAGGGTTGCTGAAGACCTCATTCCTATCCTCGCCAATGTTGCGAAGTTACCACAATATCTGGAAAGCATGATGTTGGCTACCGGAAATGGATTCAATGATACGATGCCCAGCCCAGGGAAGGAGACGACGGCCGAAAAGTCGATCAGTGGCCCTAAGGTGGGACTGTCGAGTGTATTGGTTTGTGGTCTACAGTTTCGCTACCTATATATGAACTGCCCTTAGCTAGAGGTGCAGGGAATTGTTAATCTTGGGGCTTGCAGAGTGCCGAGCTGTTCTGTTTGTAAGGGCATGCTCTGGATGACGGCAGTTCTGAAAGAGTTGCTGTGCGGAGGTGTTTGGAGAACACCCTAGAAGAAGATAATGGGTACAGAACCTGTTGTACATGTTGCTATGCGGCACGTGGTCTGTGCGTTCAGCGATGTGCCTGTTTATCCCATGCGACTGGCCAGATCAACATTTTTCGAGAAACGCTGCAGCCTGATGTCATCGAAGGTAGTGTGTTACCCTTTAGAACTTATCACAGGCCTCATGGCAAAGAACGCCAGCCAATGCAGAGCAATGACCCGTAGCCCTCAAACAGACCATAGCACTCCGAAATTAGGGTTTAGGGGTTTAAGTTTTGCCTTTGGCAGTCGTGCAAGAGTCAATGCCTCCACCCCCGTTGACGTAACTGCCTTTGCACGTTCAGCTGCCCAGGCCTGCGCCAGCGGAAAGGCGTGCGTTCCAGTAGCAGTAGCATTTGCTCTGGGGGCGTTGTTGGAACTACCTGCCTCCTGCGCGAACATCTAGATAGATACATACATGCACACACACACATACATACATACATATGTATGTATATATATATAAGTGCATATGTGAACGAGTTGATAATCAGGTAGCTGCCCTGGGAGCCCGAGTACGCCCCATATTAACACTTCCAACGTCATGAGTGCCAAGTTGGCTTCAGACACCACATCTAGCAGCACTACACTTACTGTTGACACGAAGTTCTGGCCATGGCCGTGCTGCTGCCACTACTATCTGTCACCGCTCGAACTACTTCTATCACTACTCCCCCTAAGGCTCCATGTAGGTGCTGTTTGTAGACTTGTGGACCTGATGTAGGTATCATCTATAGACTTAGAGCCCCAGGGTTCTTCTACTACTGAACTACTCTTGATGCGTTTGCAGGAGCATACCTTCCTGGCACCAACTGTCGCGCCTCTCCTGGCAGCAGTAACAGTTGCGCCTGTCCCCGTGGCATCCGTGCGCCGGCCTCCTGTTATCGCGGACATGTCCCACTACTTGAGGTAGAGTCTAAACTTCTGAAAGGGGTTAGATAGGGGATTACATAGGGAGCATTATAGGGGCTTTTAAGGCGGGTACTAGGAGTTTAGACGGTAGCTCATTTGATGAGGGTGTAGCTCCAAGGGTCATGGCTTTTACTGGAGGCCTATGGCAACTTTGTGGCCTCGCTACCTACTTTCTGGCTACATGAACGTTCTGGGTAGGGGCAGCAGGAATGCTGGACCTCCTTGAGTATCCAGGCACTCTATAATGTGTTTTGGGGCAAGATCAGGGGTGATGATATGATTTTTGGCCATCTCTTCTAAATCAACAAGGGCCTCAGCCGTAACCCTATTGTTAGGGGCGGGCCAAGATTAAAGAGGGTCCAACAGTAGGAGGGTCCAACAGTAGTAGCAACGGTGGCGGTGGCGGGGGCGGCGGCGGCGGCGGTCTTGGTGGTTTCTCCTGGCCAAGCTTCGAGCCTCTTCCTTGCCACACGCATAACTCTAAGGACCCACCGCGGCCTCCGTATGACTTGACCCCATTGAAAACGGCCCTTGTCGTAGGGGACCAACTGACTTTTTTCACTGAGGCCTGCCAAAATTAAAGGGCGGCATCCTGAGAGAACATTAACAAAGTGCAGTATCAACATCTTCGGAACATCTGTGTGTGTGTGTACCGAATCTCCTGAAGTGCCCCACCTGCAGGAATGTTCAGGGGTCTAGGGCTCACAGTTAGCTTACTGCACCCAAGCAGACATGGGGCCATATGGAGGCTCCTTTTCCAAGACCATAGTGGATGATAGAGTTTACAATACACTTATAACCTTTTACCATGTCCGCTTATGCATCCCCAAGTCATTGACCCGCGATGTTCCGTCCGCTTCGACCTTATTTCAGACGAGATGCACCTGCCAGGCAATTGCAAAGGCTATGGACGACGGATCCTGGGCCTGAAAGAAGCGGGATTGCTCAAAGCGATGTACCTGAACAGGGATTCAATAATCCTTGTGTAATCTTCATATGTCCCGAAGGTCTCCATTGTTTTCTTGAGAACCCCGCAAGATAAACGTAGAATCGGTGCAGGGGCAAGGTAGCAATGAGTTTCAGGGTTCTGGTTACACACGCGGCAGTTTAGAGATCCACTAGCACGTTTGCTTCATCTTGTGTTTCGAGGGTATGATGAACCTCCAGTATGGTGGTGTCCCAGGTTTGTAATCGACAGTGACAGAAGCCATAATTAACAGCAACAGCAATTTTCAGTCTGGGCAACCTTGCTTGGCGCTTCACCCTCGACTTGTGTGCATGCGCAGCTCGTGCCTTTGCTGAAACTAGGTTCTCCTACCAACCCTAAACCCTAACTTCTGACTCAGAGGTTTTTTACGGTACAGTAGCCTTGATTGACTCTGATCCTAGCCCTGCCTTTAGAGTGGGAGGCGAGGGACGGCAACGACAGGTGTCTTCATGTTTTGACTCTTACTACATGGAACAGCTGCGAAAATCTTGTGATGCTAGAGTCGCAGAAGGTTAAGCAGAATCTGGAGTTCAAGCAGCAAGCGTGAGCGAGGGAAGTAAAAGCTGAAGTTTGGGCAATATAAGCCCCCAATATTACCCCAATATAACCCTTATGTAGCCCCAAGATAACCCCTGTATAACCCTATATAACCCGAATACAACCCCAATATTACCCCAAGGGGTACATCACCAAGTCCTGAAGCCTGGTCCCTGAACTGGAAGGCATGAAGCCTAGATCCTAAACCCTGTATATAGGGGTAGACATGTCAAAATGTAAACAAGGCCTGCACTAAGAACATCAGACATTCCCTCAGGCACACCGTACATTGCAGAAGAACATGATTTCGGTTAGCGCTTTCAGGGCTATTTGTGAATATCATGTCTCATGTGCCAATGAGGAGCTGCTGCGGCGAAGGATGTGGGCAAGGCTGGGCAAGAGGTAGAGCCTTCATCCTGCCTCCATATATTGGGGTATACCTGCCCTGTATTCTTTCACGCATGCCGCAGAATCAGGACTTATGTTCAGTACAGGATCTTTTCACGAATTTCCCGTTCCCTTCAAGTATGACCATGTTGAGGCAGCCGGCGAGTCAGAATACTCGTTTCTGATGTTAGCCATTATCTGAACCAGCATGCGAGACAGCACGTGTTCTGTCATAATGGCGCGATGTTGATGATGGTGATGGTGATGGCGATGGTTGGCGTTGGATTTGCAGATACAGGGAGTAAAATGGTACAGCAATGGGGGATGCTTGCTGGTGGAGCATCCCAATGGAAACTCAGAAGCTAGGAAGGCACCAATCTACACCCCAAAGTATGGGATGAATACCTTGGACTCATTGACATAGTCCCTTCCACCTGACCAAGGATTCGGGCGAGGCTGGCGGTCTGGCTGTGCGCTAAGCTAGCATAAACAGGAATAACATCCCCTTACACTGGGAATATTCCGGCTCTAGTTGTTCCATGGCCATTGTGGTGTCCAGACCTTGGTATAGTGGACTCAAAGTAATCGCCCCAAAACCAGGTGACTTTCCTCAAAAGGTGGAACCCCAGACTTGGGGAATGCCTTCTCTGGCCTGGGTCTTGCAAATGTTAAGAAGGGGTTCGGGGCTTCAAAGCTTAGAATATGGGGAACAGAGACATTGATGTGGGAGCGTGTAAGGGCGGACGAATGTCTTACACATACCGAGCCTGAGGTGGTGATGCGTACTGCGGATACTGTGGGTTTAGGGCTTAGGGTTTAGGGTTTAGGGTTTTAGGGTGGTTGAGGGTTTAGGGTTAGGATTTGTCTCCTCATCCCTTTAATCCTTGGTTGAAGGCTCGGTGACCCAATTGGGGGCCCGACCTGCCAGTAGGTGCGCAGTTTCCATTCAGAGCTGTCCGGGGAACAGGATGAGGCGGTACTCGTATGTGGTAGTTTCCCAAAATGATGGGACCTACTGTAGACCCCAGTATACTATAGTCTTTTCGAAAAGGACACACCCAAAATGGTACCCCTAATTTTGGGAAGGCCCCATGTGAAAGCACTGAGACCATGAGAACTACTTCACAGACCGATTCTTGGATTGGAGGATCCCACCTTCTTTTTGCAGCCGCCCTCAAACCAAAGTGCGCCTCTGCCGGAGGATCCCTAAACCTTGAACGCATAAGCTTCCACGATTCCTATACTTCATTGGCCAAGATGTTTTTGGGTGAGAGCTCTCTAGCGAGCCTTGCACACTTATAGTCCCCCTTAGGGGGTTTAGGGTTAGAGAATGGGATGTATGGGGATCTTGATCTTATTATGATATTGCACAATTCCATATTCTATCTACTTACAGGGGACTATATCCGTGCTCGGCACCCTGTCTACCTCGTGTTACATCAATTGTGGCGCCCGCATCACCCGGAACTGTAGGTCTGGTCTTTGGGATGTTTCAATGCCAGCAGGGAGGAGGAGTTCATGAATTACCCTCCCCTCCTTCCGAAGACTCGGGCCTCTACAGTCACTTGAGCAATGGTGCCTCAGGCCCATCCAAGGAAAGCCATGCAAGCTTGCTAGCATCCCCAGTTTGACTACCCCTGCTACCTCATAGGTATCAAATCCCAAAGCCCTAATTCTCTAAGCCCTCCATCTTCCCGAAAACCCTAAGCCCGAAGAACCCAAAAGCTTTAAACCCGGAAGCCCTAAGTTCCTAGCCTCTGACACGGCCAGACTCTGGAAGCCAGCCCTGCATCCGTGACTACCGCTGCTGGGTTCTGGTTATGGACCTCAACTTATGTTACCGTACGAAGGAGACCATAGTACTTAATGGGGGATTCCAAGGACTAGTGGGGCCTCGTTTTGGGAAGACCTAGAAGAAATTTATAGTAGACTGGGTCCTTTTGCCATTCCATATTACGGTAGCTTGATGTAAGTTGCTTCACAGAACCCTAAAACCCTGAACCCCAGGCTGGCAACGGTGGCAACCATCTGGTCTACGGCCTGGTTGGTCAGGGGACTCAGACCTACTTAGGGTTTAGGATTTAGGGTCTAGGGTACAGGGGCCTGAAGGACACCAACATTTCGGTCCTATAGGGTGGTTGTGTGATTGCTACTTTGAAGGTCTAGGTAGTATAGAATTGGAAAGGAAATGGGAACTGCATTTTGTAGGGAATGAAGCACTGGATCAATGGGGTTCGCCATCTGCTAGCACTGCCATAGGTAATAGGGATTCCCTCCTGCATTCTTCTGACTTGGTCTTCAGGAAGGTTTTGTGGGCAAAATGCCATAACAAATTCTGCTTGAGGCGCTGTATAGCTTTGGACACCAAAGAAATTCGCATTTCAACAACAGGCTTCCTTGGCAGCCAGAAGAGGTGTTCACAGTAACTGGAGCAAGATATTTTCGGCAAGGACTGCAGACTTCTTGCCCTGTAACTTAAGAGCTGTATCTCTAAAGAGTAGTTGCGATGATGATGCTCATCCTTGTGCTTTGAATCATGTTTGCTAGGCTCCTTGACATTGCTAGTAATAGGGGGGGTTGGGTGATTCCAACCCCAAAGGGTCACCACCACGCTCTTGCCAGATTTAATAAAAGCAATCTGGTATACATCCTGTTTTTGCAGCAGCGGTGGAATTTCGTTTGCAGAGGTTTTGGGCTTTCAGAGGTGTCTCAATCAAACTAGGGTATGTTGTAAAACAAGGGGTCCCTTTTCCGCCATCTCGCTATTTGTGTTCAGAGTGCTTTCGAGAACGAAATCGGACCCTAAGCTGGCAAATACCCACACTGATGATTATTCTGTCATTGCCACTACTAGTAGACTATGCTCGTGCACTCCTGTCATATGCTTTGGGTGCGGGCCCAGCTGCGATCCGGTTATTTCAACTCTCACATCCAATACGGACGGAGACCGCGCAATTCATGTTTTTTGGAGCACCCCAAAAGCTCTAAAGTTCGACGGCTTCCGATAGTATGAGTATCTGCCCAAGCCGTGCCACGGCTACATGTTCCGTCGCTGCGGTTAGGGGTTGAGGGTTCAGAGTTTGGGGAACTACGCATTTTTTGAATGTTTTGCAACCAGCTTAAAAAGGGTTCAAATGCAAGGAAAGGATGTGGGTCGAAATGGGATGGGGTGTTTTGTTTAACAGTGGAAACCTCGCAGGGTCCTGTAACCATATACTTGATACCTACGCCCCCAAATAGCTACGCAGGAACCTCTTTGGTAACACAATCCCCAACAAAGTCCAGCGATCTTATGATGACCGTTTTGTGCCGAGGTGGTATTGCTGGAGCAATTGCTCTGGGAGGGGGTGCCTATTACTTCATGTCCGGCGGAAAGACCAAGGAGACCTTGCTTCATCAGAATGTAGTTTGCCGGGTTTGAGGTGAGGGTTCAGCGCCTACACTGGCTTTTGGTTAGCTAGGAATGAAGGAATGGATCCCTCTAGTAGTCCGTATAGCCCATTATAGTATTTTCCATGTTCTTTTCCATTCCGTCATTCCCAGCTCACAAAAGGCCAGGCCAACGGTACAAACTGAAAACCTGAAGGTCTCTGTCAGGGGAGGGGGGTTTAGCAGACGGGTTTTACATGCTTTTGAACAAGTGCACAGACTCGTAAGGATGGTCACCAAAATGCATGTGACTTATGGAAAGTTTTTTCCCAGTTCTCAAGGAGACAAGAAAGGGGACCAAGTTGAGAAGCTTTTGGTTTTGGTTTGCGAACCTAGTTGAAAGTCAAAGGGGGTTCAAGTAGCCAATAGCTTCATCGTTTTGATGCCCTTTAAACCGGGCAAGGCCCCTGTTACCGGAACATGAAGGTTTATTCATCCCATGGCTCGTGTACAATTTTGACTGAACATGTATGAGATGATTATACAGGGCCCTCCAATCTGGGCAGGTGATTGTCATGTCATGGTTTTCCAAAAAATGGCTACAGAGCCAGGAGCGTCGAGGTGTTTGAGAGACGTAACCGCGCTGTCTGCATTTAAGGTCAAAGCAGAGGTGTCCCAATGCGGTACAACATTGCTAAACTGATGGAAGCGTTCCGATAAGACTGAGACTACCGGAATCCTCTGCTCCCCAGCCCTTGTGCCATCGATCTGTTTGTCGCGGCAGTCGAAGAAGAAGTCGAAGCGCGCCGTGGGTGTGGAGCAGGCAGTCAGAGCGTATACATGGTGGGGCTTAGGGGTCCCCATAATGAGGACTATAGTATTTAGGGGTCTATATTGGGGTCCCCCTATTATGGAAACTACCATATTTGTTGTCTCGCTTCATTAGTGGGGGCTATGGCTACGGCTTGGATGTCTGTTCTTACACCCATGGTGTACAGTGCTTTGGGGGACCGTCATCAGCTGGATATGTTATGTTTTCTTCAGGTCGGGGCTCGGACTGGCTGTGTCCGTGTTTTGTCCCTATGAGGTCAGCCTTTGCATCAAGGGCAAAGCCACCATCAGCTGGATGGACGAATATACCGGCTGCCATCAAGCAAGTAGCCCCAGCACATTGACGTATGCAGCCTTATAATATCCCTGTTCTTGCAGGTGGTATGCAGCCCTGGAGCTTTCGGCTAGGGCAGCCGTACCATGACATGGTTGTGATGGGCGGAGAGGTCTGATGACCTTAATGACGAGGCGTTGGATTTAGATAGCATGCCCTGACGGACATGAATTCCAACAGTTCAAATCCAACTCCACTGTGCTGGCTGGGTTGGGACAAAAGTTCAAAGACTCCACAGTAAAGGAAAGGATGGCTTTCAAATCCCTGATGAGATGACTGCCCCACACGGGGATTTCCCAACGTTAGGGTCCCCTTTGCGGGGGTTTCTACAGAACCCTCCTGAGACCATCTGAATTTTCCTCTGAGCCACAAACTCTGCATCGTGCGCAGGCGCCCATGATTCAGGACAAGGGCTTGGGTCATATAGGGGCATATAGGAACGATGAAAAGGAAAATGGAAACTACTATTTAAAGATTTAGGGTTAAGGGGTCCGCTTGGAATACTTAATTGTCTTCATGTCTTGTGCATCAGATTCAAGCCTACGCCTTAACCATACGCCAATACGGCAATATCAGGGGCGTTTGCTGACCTTTAGTTGGAGGTATGGCATAATTTAATGGTTCTGGAGTCTAGAAGGTAGTGCTTCCAATTTCAGATTGCGTGGCGTGTTTTCGTGGTAGGGTCTCTTCTACGGGCCCTACAGCTGATCATGCCCTACATTTGCACCCTGCATTCGTGGAGTTACTACACTTGTCTGTTGAAAAGCAACGCGACGCGTCCATGATCGCAGTCTATTTTGTAGTTGTGTCACGTGGTGCCAGCCCAGCAAGTCGCATCAAGCAAGTGCAACTACAGTAACCTGAATGTCGATGAAGTTGGTACAGAGTTTGCTACGATCTGTGCATTTTGTGATGTTCCCTAGGGAAGGATGGCAGCGGTTTCAGGAATAACTTTTTGAAGCGGGCAGAGATACGAGATGTGGTTGTTTCCATAAATAGAAGGGCCCCAAAATAGACCACAATATATTGTAATCCTTTTTTATGCGGGCCCATAATCTGAAGGCACCCTTAATTGTGGAAACCCCCATATTCTTCCCTTTTGGAGCAATTTGGACTAACCGTTGTATAGTCTCACTCTACACCGCACATTCAGTTCGATGTTGTTTTGAAACAGCTTCCAAATCTGGTCCGGTTCAACGTTTCTGGCAGTGAGCCTGGATAAAGGCTTGCAAGGGATTTTTCAATCTTTGGGGTACATAGCTGCGAAGACTACTGATATTGAGGCTCCAAGCATGCCCCAAAGTTGGCGTTCTTTACAAAATTCACGGTGCGAACTTGTGATTGCTTAAGTCCTATAGCTACACTGCAAGCTCATACGCAAACACCCCAAGTCCAAGCGCCTACAACCCCTAAGCCCTAAACCCCTTCCGAGTGATAGGAGTCCCCCGCACCAGCTGCTCCAGTTGAGCCTGTGGCAACAATCGGTACCTTGGGCATCTCTGGCACTTTTAAATCCTAAACCCTAGAGTAGTTTCCATTTTCTTTTCCATTATCCCAATATCTATACATATATATATATATTGCATTATATTATATACTATATTATATTATATCATATTATATTATATACATTATATGTTATATATAACCCCCGTATAACCGCTATATAATCCCCATATAACAGTAGGGTTCTTATAACCCCGGCTTCGCCTTCACTTGCTGCATCTTGATGTTAGGTTCGGGGAAGGTGAAGGACGTTGTTGTCTCAAAATCATGCCCAAAGGCTCCAAGTAGCTATATGAGCTGTAGTCCAAACTCCCTGAAGGGGTTATATACGGGATTATATAGGAGACTACTAATGGGGCTGTTCAGGGGATACTAGGAGTTTAGCTCATGTAGTATATACTTAGGGTCCAAAGGGGGTTCTCATACGGGGCCCAGGTATATACCATATAGCTACATGGAGCCTTTGGGGTCCTTCTTTGGTGTGAGTCTTCTGGTACTTTGGTTATTTACGGGGGCCTGAAGTGGAATGCATGCCTGGAATACATGGCATGGATGGCAGTGAAAAAGGGACAAAGGCAGCCCTGACCTGCCAGGGGTTCTCCTTGGAACCTTTCCCTGTAGACTCAGTGTCGTTACTGTCCTATGATACTGTCAGAAATACTCTTTAACTCGGCTTCCTACGAAGTTAGCAGAACTCCGAGACTGTAAAGCCAGGTTCTGGGCAGTACCAGAACATGCCGATGTATCCCATGGGCCAGCAGGCCCAGATGACCCCAGTGCCACAGCATCTTGTCAGCAAGGTATGGGGTTGAGGGTCTTTTCATATATAGAAGGAGTGAGACATTCACGAGACCGCCCGCTCCTACACAAACTTTGCAAGCGATGACGACTTTGGGATGGTTTTAGGCAGAAATTTAGACACTTCCTCGACTCCCTCACTGGCGATTTGTACACTGGATCTCAGAGGAAGCGAGGAGGCTTATAGACAACGCTACCCAAAAGCTCCACATCAAAACAAAATCCAATAAAAGCTTGCCTATGCTGCCGGGATGAACAGTTGATGCCGTCATCTATTTTGTTGTTCGTCTGTTTCAAGCTCAAGCATAGCTTACACTAGGGCTACACTTACCTAAATATGGGGGCTTGGGCTTTCCTACCATATTACTTACATAGCCCAGAAGCTACTATTAAGGTACATGGGAGCCCTAGGGTTAAGTGATTACAAAGCTGCCTTGCCTCAAGGTTCTACCAGCAGGTGCCCGCCTACCAGCCCATGAACTACGTCTACCAGTACCCCGGTGTACAGGCCGGCAGAGTCGCAAACTCTGTACCCTTCCCCCACATTACCCTTACGCTCTTAGCAGGGAATATGGGAGTATAGTATATACAGAGATCATGAACAAGAACCAGTAAGTACCATAAAGCCGTCCGGGTTCCAGAATGGTTTGCGGGGAGTTTAGGCTCCAACTACTTGTAGATATCACTGAAGCAGCACGCAGATCACACAGGGTTGCTGCAGGTCCCTATGTCAACTTTCCCATGTTGGATGAAGTTGTACTGCTTGAAGCCCAAATTCTGCTTGAGGATTTAGGTTGGGTCCTTGAGCTTCATGATCAATGGAGTTGGTCGGTGAGATTGGCTTGCTTGGTCAAGACCTTTCGCATCGGTCAATCCCTGCAGCCTCCTTACCTTCAATGGTCTAGAGCACTCGGAGGCCTCAAGAGGGTGTTGGAGTGTGTTGGACGGTTCACTTCTGCAACAGGACTTAAAGGAAGCGACACCTCTAAGAGCGCCAGGGCCTGTCGTGAAAGCTTCAGCCGTTCCTGTGGCAGTGGTTGCTAACTAGCAGTGGCCGCGGACTAGTTACCTTACTTAGGGTATTGTCGTTGCGGCGCTTGTAAGTTGTGCTCAATGTCTCATTTCAGCCAACTCGCCGGCATGGTATGTTCAATTTGCTTGTATTAGCACACGGAGCAGTGACCTGCCGAAACTCACTTGGGATTCCTAGTGGGACAAGTTGGCACAGATGTGGTATGATGTTTTTTCATGTTCTTGCATGTTGGTGGGGAGGTTGCTACCCCGATGTCTTGAGCTACAGCCGCTGACTCAGCTAGTAGAGAAGGGAACAAAGCCCAAAAAGGATGCTTGTATGGATGCGGAGACTGTTTGCAGAGATCATTCCTTCAAGGCTTGTAGTATTCTGGAAGCAGTCAGCTTTAAGAAGACCTCCTGCGCAAGTAGCTGGTGTGCTGACACGGGCACCTTCTCAGCAGAGGAACCTTCGGGTTTTAGGTGTGATGAGCCCAGTATCTGCTAGAATGGAAGGAGGCCGCGTCTTGGGTCGTTTGGGTTGATCATAGTCTAGGTTTGCCTGCGGGACTGCAGGACTGAAGGTATCCTTCAGCATTTGTTGGTTCGTTTGGTGTCAGTTTGGTGTTGGGTGTGCTAGGTCCGTCCTACCAGAATTTCAGTCAGTCTCCCCCCAGGAAGGGAGAAGGTTTCCAGAAAACAACCACTACTGTCCAAGGAAGTAGTTTTGCCACGAACCGTGCCGGCCGAAACTGCATGATGCCCGGCACGGGCAACTACTAATTACGGGAACCATGAGCGCAAGCAGGTAGATTGCAACCAAAGCTATCTAATTTGCCCCCCCCCCCCCTACTTGGAAGTACCTTGTAGGTCCCGAAACCCTAAACTTCAAGCCTGACCCTGAGGTTCGACGATGAGATCTTTTGAGTACGGCAGGTGTCCATTCAAAGGAGCGGCACCTTCCAAATAAATTAGTGCGCCCCAGCCAATGACAGGCTGATCTATGGTGAGTCCACCACTGCCCACCCATGTGAGCTAAACGCCTTAATATAGGGAATCATATAGGGGATCATTTTGAATGCGATTAAGGTTGGATACTAGGAGTTTAGACTATAGCTCATGTAGACATAAGCTGTGTTCAAGGCTTGTCACGCTCCAGACCACCCGCAGCAAGGATCCCTCCAAGTTCTCAATGGACATTCGGCTGATTAAACACCTAAGGTCCTCAACATGCTAGTGACCGCCAGTGGTAAAAAAGCTTGGAACCCCAAAAAGAGGAAGGAGAGCCATATGACAGATTTGAAGCATGCCCAATCTGTTGTGGCTTATCACACAAGGTCAGGTTCCACTTGTGCTCAGCTTTTTGGGGTCCTAGCTGCAACAAGGAAATACATATCAGAAGCCCCCAACTTCGCTTATGCATCGCGCCCCCAGGGGTGCTGGGATTCCTCAGCTCCCCGTTCCGAAGACTTTCATCCAACTCACCGGGCAAGATTGCACGGCCAGCTAATGTGCGCGGATAGCATCAGTTCGACGGAGGCTTTCTGGTGTCGGACCGAGTGTTGCAGCAGGTTCTTGAGGGCCTGGCCTAGAAGATGATTGCAATGAATACGCTAAACAGGAATTTTCGTGTGGAACGGCACAAAGTTTGTTTCCACCTTCAGAAACATGGCAGAACTAACATCAACCCCCTTTTGCAGATCTTACATGCTGAGTTTGCTGCTACAACCTTTATGGCTGGCTGCCTTGGTTGTCTGTTTTCTTCCCACTCAAGAATAAGCTTGTCATTACAGACTGGCTACTCCCCCCCTAATATTAAATACCACCATTATGTGGTATTTTGCAATATGTTGGGAAGATGTAATATTAGGGGTGTGTGTGTGTGTGGGGGTGGGGGGTTAATATGACGGGGAGGGGATTAATTAGTTGTGAGGTGTGTCGCATTAGCGTTATGTATTTCGCCAAGGTTTTTGAGTTATAGGCCAAAAGAAGGCTTAATCCACTGACAGGTACCCCGCCCGGATTGGGGCTTCTTTTACTCAGCTTGCAATCGGCCGGCACCGGTGTGTCAGTGGCAGCAGCAACTTGCTTCCACATGCGCTTGCCCACGTGGATCAGGCTCCATCACCAATCTGTTTCTTGTAGCCACTGTGCTAGGAATCAGGACAAGTAATGACTTTGTCAGGCCATCACTGGGTTTCAGCAGGATGGGGTAGATAGGCATCCCTGCAACTACGCAAGGGCCCTTCGTGACCATCAGCTGTACCTTATTACCCTAGAGCTCCCAGTTACCTAATTAGTAAGTAGACTACTGGGCTATGTAACTATAGGATATATCGAGCCCAGTTCCCATTATTTAGGAAATTGAGAGCCCTAGGGTAAGCCAAGCACACATTTCGAGAAGCTTAGCATACAAAACTGAGAGCCCTGTCTCGCGACATGGCTTTGAAGTAAGAAAGGCAAGCCAAAGGCGCTCGATCTTGTGAGTTTCCTAGACAGCTTCAGGTCTAAGTCATGTTGATGCAAACCGGCCAGTTCCATGATCGGAGTTGATTAGGTACTAGTAGGAGATACAGAAAGGGGGAAAAACAGTGTACTGCACAGGCTTCTAGATTTCCTTCTGCATTCCTGGCCTCGCGTACATCAGACAGAAATCAAACCAACCTTGGCAGTATTCTGCCCCCTTTATTCCTGTATTTTCCTAGAGTTGACCTGCCTTCCACTTAAATCCTTGCCTGTGCAAAAAAGTACCAACTCGTTCAACCAGCAGGCAGAGGAAATCAAGCAATTTATGTGTCAGCCCTATCTTATTTAGATTTCTTGATGCATGGAACTAAGCCAGGGACTATGCCTGTATTGCTGAATCAGCCCCCTCAATGAGTTCATTTTCTTTGGCATAAGGCTATGATTCTCAGTTGAGGCAATGTTCTCAGCTGTATGTCTGGTCTCGGAGGCGATTTAAGGAAGGAGCCGTTTTGAAGCCGATGCGGAGCTGGTTGACAAAAGAGGCACGAACCAGCCAAGATTCAAAGTGAAGGCAAGAAAAATTGCCCCAGCATACATATTCTTTTAACTCAAACTACAACCTTCTGATTAACACCTTTCTTATTTTAATTGGCATTCAGTCTGAACCTGCTACGGCATTCCGCGCATTCTTGAGAAGGTTGTTCAACTTGAAGCACCTTGGCTGGGACCGCGGGACGCGCTCCATCATACTCTGCGTGTAGGCGCAAAAATCCTGACACAGAGTGTAGGGATTCAAGTGGTAGTTTCAGGCATCATGAAAAACTGAAAAGCATGGCAGGCTTATCGTGAAAGACAGCCCCACCCCCCACCTGACACACTAGATGATTTTAAAGGAACTTTGGTCATCCCAAAATCTGCATCGTTCAGCTGTTTCTATGCTGTTGGTGCAGCGTGGAGTCTTTGCACCCAGCTTCCGCTTGGTCCTGTCGGCTCAAGCGTTCAGCTGCAGGAGCAAGCTGAATGCAGAATGCCTTTGGCATATGCTGTGATCTGAGATTAGGTCATGACCGCCAACGTGTTGCATTTCTTCGTGCCAAAACTGTGATTGGTCTTGGCGCATTTGCTGTGCCTCCTACACTTAGCAATGGTAAGCTGCAGCAACAACGAAATTCTCATCGGGGTTCAGAGTACATTGCTCAAGAGACCCATAGCCTCGTGATTCATCCGCAACCGTGTGCGGATCTGACTGGCAAGACTGTCACGGCATCCTGGCACCGAATGTGCTGTCCACAGTCCATTCTGCCATAATCTTCACAATGTAAACCGTAACCCTAAACCCCAGAACCTTGTCGTACTCTAGTTATTTAGGTCCCCACACCGGCCGCGGGGTCCACCGGCATGGGAAGTTGGGCGAGCATTGGGTTTTGCGAGGACCTGAAACATCGGTAATCTGACCATTTTTCCCTCCTTCCAGCCTTCCTGCCCCTACTTCGCTTACCCATGCAGCCTGAAACCCTAAACTGGATCAATGTTAGGGATCCATTCTATTTTTGGGGGTATAGGGTAACGTGGCATAAGTAAATCCTCTGAACCAAAACCCTGGCCTGACTTGAGTTGATGTTTTTTTTGCCCCCTCCACCTCCCCCTCCCCTACTTGTGGTGACACAACTGTCGTGTGATAATGCATCAAGAGGAGGGCTGTCTCAATGACCCTTGTTATAATCAATTGTGGGTCGTAGTTTTTGTGTTTGACCACCATGTACTATCGCAATTGCTAGGGTTATTGCAGCACATTTGTTCATTAGTAAAGAGGGGGGGTGCTAGCCCGCGCGTTTCTCATACCTCATGACCGCTCTCTTTCTCTTGCACGACATACGCACAGCTGCAGTTTGAGTGTTATCCTAGATTAGAGGCTATTCGAAGTTACTCCTAGAGACTCTTTATTTGTAGTGGGCCCCCCATGATGATCCCCATACATGGCGGTGGGTCCCCAATGGCCCCTTGATTTTTGGAAATCTGCAGCCAAGGTAGGATCATACACACTTCTTCCTGCTCGACCATGTCAAAGCTTCTTGTGCTGAGCCTGATCCTGGATGCCGCGTCCTCAGGTAAAAGAAGTTGTGAAGAAGATTGGGTTCAGCACGCGAATAGCGCCAATGATAGGTGAACAAGACATGCCATCCAGGAGTGTCGTCGGGCACTCTTGATTACAATGCCCAACATGATGACATTGTTGCTCTTCTTCAAAGCATGAACGTACAAGGCCGTTCTCAACGCACGGAAGATACATACCCTTCAACATTCTCTCTCCTCCGCTCATGTAAAGCCTCAATATCTTCAGGAAGAGGAGAGCCTGATTGTTCTGACATGTATCTGGACTTTTTACAAACTCCGATTCAATCCTGTCCAGTGGCTATCCTATAGCCGTACCTTGGAAACATTCTATGGACACTGGACACCGAGGGAATTTGGGCAAGTACTCCGCGAGATTCGGAGTATGAGAAAAGGGCCCAAGTGGTTCATGTAGGTCTACCTGCCAAATATAATTTGCCCGGTTTACTCAGTACTCTGCCAGAGTGAAACACAGAAAGCATGGATTGTTCGGCATATGGACGAGTTTCTGTGTGATCATAGTCCCCCTGAAGTAGATAGAATATGGATTTGGGAAAGTTATAATAAGATCCCCATTCACCATACATTATACTATCTGCTTAAGAGGGGCGATATATACCTTGTAGCAGGGTGGGAGCCTGTTGGCTGTGACTCAACAAACGGGTCTTTTTGTAACACCAGATCCTGCGGAGCCCCTACAAAGG